TTATTATTCATTTTAAGGAAAATTTACAGAGACTTTGGATTTCCATTCATTCATTGTTACACTTTTATCCCTGCCCACCCCTCACCCCCAGTTTACTCTTCTCTTTGAAAGGTAAAAGAAAAATTCTTTCATTGTAATACAATCCCACCCCCCCAGGTCCACTCCACTAAACAGCCTTCATTCTGGACTCCTGTCACTGTTTAAAAGGGATAAATTATTAGGTATTATTGTCATGACAGGAGTCCAATGACTCTTAGTAACATATTTAGTGGCTATTTATGTTCAAGTGTGTTTATTTAAAGCACAAAATAAAAATAAAATTAACTCACAGAATCATAATCACAGTTAGAAGAAAAACAGAAAATCTAAAAGAAAACACAAAATTTCTGGAATTTTGTCATTTACCTCCAAGGGCAAAAAAAGTAATAAATTTAAGATTCCACAGTAATTTGAAAGAAAAAAATTCTCATCACATATAGATGTCCACGTTAAGTATTTCCAAGTTCGATTGTTTTTATCAATTACTTGCATCTTTATGACTACAAAGGAGACATAAAATCTTGATTCAAATGTGCGTTTTAAAGGGTGGTTGTATTGTTGTTGTTGTTACAGAGATTTGAAAAAGATACATAATAACCTGGAATGAAAGATTAATAATGACTTTGAAAAACTGTATCATTCCCTTCCTTCAGGAACAAGTCCTAATATACTCCAAAAAGGATTAGTGAAGATAATAGATAATAAGACCTGCAACAATAAAGAAGTATATGATGGCGTTGTCACACCTGGAATGTTGTGTGCTGGGTTTCTGGAAGGACAAGTGGATGCCTGCCAGGTAAATCTGCTTGTATTGCTTTCAAAAATTAATTTTTTTCTTATAGCTTTTAAAGTCTAATTATTGTTGTTGTTGTGTGCTGTCAGGTTGGAACCAACTCATAGCCAACCCTCCAAAGGGTATTCAGAGGCAGTAAATCACCCAGGAGGAAACTGCCCATCTTTCTCCTTCAGAGCAGTGGAGGACTCCAACCACATGTCTTTTGGTTGACAACAAAATTCCTTACCACAATGTCTAATTAGCCAGTTCCATTTCCTCAGAGGGTTGACCAGCTTTTAAAGGCTTAGTATGTTTATAGGCAAAGTATCTAATTAACTGATCTAAGTATCTGATAACTAAAAGGTCTCATTAAAATACTGAAGTATTAAATCACCCTTACTGTTTAAGATGCTGTGGTTCAGGGTGGAAAAAAGACCCGATAGCAATAAAAACATGAAATTAAATATTTATGAACTTAGTGTAATTGGCCTTCTTTCACTAAGAAATACATCATTAAGTCAACACCAAAACCTAAATAAACCTGAAGCTTTCTAAATGGGTTCTAAGTCTTAATTATTTTCTTTATTTAGCATTTTTATAGTATTCCCAGATATTAGGCTTTTTCAAATTGTTCACAAATAATAATTCATAACAAAATAATTTTCAATTACAATCAAGTAAAAAATGTTTTATTATTATTAACCCTTTTTATCAGATGATAAGATTGAAATAAACAGATAAAATAATTTGTCTAAGCTTACACTTAAGAGAAAAAACTAGGATTTAAATCCACTAGATCGGGCTCTGGGACTCATAGAGAACTATATTAGAATGCCTTTCCTTGTGATTAGTAGGCTTCTAATACCCCTGACATTGTTTGTAGCAATAGTTTTAGATATAATAAAAGTACATCTTTAGATAATGTAGCCATAAAGAATCAATGATAAATTCGAAAGGACCTTTATTTAACTCACCAATTCTTTCATATAATAATAATTTGTTGACCTAAGTCATGCAGATGATATAACCTTGCTTGCAGAAAGTGAGAAGACTTGAAGCATTTACTGAAGAAAATCAAAGACTACAGCCTTCAGCTAAAAAGGACAAAAATCCTCACCACTAGACCAACAGGCACCATCATAATAAATGAAGAAAGGATTGAAGTTGTCAACAATTTCAATTTACTTGGATCTACAATCAACACCCATAGTAGCACCAGTTATTAAATAAAAGATGTGCTGGAAAATCTGCTATCAAGAACATCTTAAAAAGATGTCAGTTTAAAAACTAGGATGTGCCTGGTGTAAGTCATGGTACTTTAAATTGCTTCTCATACATCTGAAAGTTGGACAATAATAAGGCAGATCAAAGGAGAATCAAAGCATCTGAATTGTGATGTTGAAGAAGTGTATTGAAGATTCCATAGAATGTAAGAAGAACAAATAAATTTGTCTTGGAGGAATTACAAATAGAGTATCCCTTAGAGTCAAAGATCATGAAACTTTTTCTCCAATACTTTGGGCATATTGTCAGAACAGAGCAGTCCTGGAAAAAAAAACAAAACATTATGCTGAAAAGATAGAGCATTGGTGAAAGAGAGGAAGACACACGCAATGAGCTAGATTGGCTCAGTAATTACAACAATAGTATGAGCATGATTAGGAGGGTGGCACCCACAGGTTTGGCACAGGATAGAACAAGGTTCAGATCTGTTGTTCATAAGGTTACTATGAGTTGTATTCAACTTGATGACATCTAACAATAATACCAATGTAGACTGACACAATGAGCACAATAATGATCTTGCATATGACAGAGATCGTGAGAATGGCTCAGCACAGGGCAAAGGCCCAAGCAGACTCATAGGGTTGCACCTAACAACAATAACATCTGTGTACAAGATACAATATTAGGTACAGATAAGTTAAAGTGAGTAGAGCATTATTTCTCCACTTTACAGACTACTAGTCATGCAAATAAGTATTGTCAATACATAGTTGTTATCTGTGAATACAGATTCCTATCCTCACTTTACCACTAAATATCAAAACTTTAAAACCCACTTACAGTGGGTTGATTCTGATGTATATTGAGTATCCTTTGGATTTCCAAGTTTGTTAATCTTAACAAAAGCAACTGCTTCATTTTGTCACTCACAGACAAGCTGATAGCACTCATCTTTCCATTAGCAGCCATACATTAAATGCATCAGAGCACCAATGTCATGTTGTTGCTGATTGCCACGACTCATAGCAACTCCATGAACAAAAAACCTTTCTGTAATTATCATTGTTTCTCCAAGTTCATAGAGTTTCCATAGGTATGTGGCTTAGGAAGTGGATGCCACTTCTTCTTCCACTCTTGTTTTACAACTGGGAGCTCCACAAAACACTGTCAACACTGGAAAAGCATTATGGCATTTCACACTCCAGTGGCACAAGGTTCAGCATCACAGCAAACCCAGGTTACCTCAGTACAGCAAGTTGACAAAGAGTGATGTACAAAGTAGAAGAATGTTTCTCCAAAATATAACACTAGTCTCACTTAGCAGTGGTTAAGTATTGTTAAGTTGAATACGACTCATAATGACTGTATGAACGAAAGACCTGAACTCTATTCTACAATTAACATTATTTCTTTATATTTATAGAGTTTATAGAGTTAAGTCTCAGTTCTTATCAAGTTTCTCCGTCCACCACACCCATTTCTGATCTCCCTTCTGAACTTATACATCCCAGAATCCACATTTCAGTATTTCAGTATTACACACACATCTGCTAAAAATCCTAAAAATCTCAAACAGAGGGCAATATGAATTTCTGCTTTATCTGTTATTGCATGCAGGCTGCTATTGAGTACAGGCAAATGTAGTCATATAAATGGGTGTCATATAATCACAGCTGAATCCTTAATACACTGTGTATTTCAAAATTTCATTACATACTTTAAATCATCTATCCTTTAATATCTTTATTCTCCTTAGCGTATGATATGTACTCCTATTTACTGGTAGTGGGGGATTGGGATATGAAGGCAATTGTATAAAATTAAGAAAGGTGTGTACCAGGATTTTATGCTCTCCATACCTATTCAGTCTTTATGCTGAGCAAATTATTCAAGAACCTAGACACTGTGAAGAAGAATGTGACAACAGTATCAAAGAAAGACTCGTCAATAACCTACATTATGCAAATGACATAACCTTGCTTGTTGAAATTGACAAGGATTTGAAACATTTGTTGTAGAAGATCAAAGAATACAGTTTTCAATATAGATTGTATCTCCACATTAAGAAAACAAAAATTTCACCACTAGTCTGATATGCAACATAACGATAGGTAGAAAAAAGGGGGAAACTGTTAGTGATGTCTTCTTGCCTGGATCCACAATCAACATCCTTAGTACTCAGGCGATCAGAAGACATATGGCACTGAGAAAGTCTGCAGTCAGGGACCTCTCCAAATTGCAGAGTAGCGATTAATGATGTCGGTTCGAGGACTTAAGTGCTCCTCATTTAGGCTATGGTCTTGCTATGTGTCTGAAAGCTAGGCAATCAATGAGAATGACAAAAGAATTGATGTCTTTGAGCTGTGGTGTTGGACAAAAATACTGGATATCTCATGGACCGTCGAAAGGGCAAACACATATGTCTTAGAGACAGTGTGGCCAGAGTATTTCTTAGAGACAAAGATGATAGTCTCATTCTTTGGGACTGTTGCTATGAGAGGCTATTCTTTGGAGACAGACATCATGCCTGGAAAGACAGAGAGTCAGCGAAAGAGAAGAAGACCCTCCCCCCAACCAGATGGATTGACATGGTGACTGTAGCAATGGGTTCAAGTGTGTCAGAGGTCATAAAGATGTCACTGGATAAGACAAGTTTCACATCTGTAGTTCAGAGATGATATGAGTCATACTGAACTCAATGGCATTTAACAAGAACAACATTTGTACAACAGCTCGGAAGCCTTCCCTGTCCTGAGCCAGTTTCACTGACTCTGACATAGCTACCCTTATTGCCCCAGTTACTGCATCAATCTCATCCCAGTTCTTCCTCTCCTGCACTGTCACTTTACCCTTTACCCTTCTCCAAGGTCTGGTCCCTCCTCCCATGTGCCCAAAGTAGTGAGATGGAGCAATAATGATGTATATACCAAGAGGAAAAAGTAGTGCAAGAAAATTGAGGTCATTTTGTTGTTGTGTACCTTGAAATCAGAGCCTATCCATAACTGACCTTCCATCAAGTTTTCAGACAGTGAATCACACGGGGGTTGATTACCAATATTTCTCCCACAGAGTGACTGGTGGATTCAAATAATACTTTTGTGTTGGCACCATACTCCTTACCATTGTGCCACTAGAGGAGAGAAAAAAAACAAAATAAAAAAAATTATATTATAAGGTCCTTGACCTAGAGATTGGCCGGCAGATTCAACCTCGGAGAAGACTAAATCTGTCCATTTATGAGAATGAGAAGAGCAAATGCAGATGAGTTGATGTAGATTAGTTGAGAAGTAAAAATAGAAAGACAAAAAATGCCCAATATTCACTTTGAATCAAGCCATACATTCTGCACTTGATTCAATGTGAAAAAAACTGGATTTACAAAAGAGTAAAAGGACTAAGTGGAAATGACTGTCATAAAAAAATAAAAAAGGATGCCAACCAGACACATATGAATTGTGGATATATGTTACTTGGAGCATGAATATTTATGCTTTCTTTCACAGTGTGTGGTTTGGTACAACCTATGTTAAATAACACTTAAAGATGGCAATGAGGTGACGTTATTAAAAGAGGAACAATTTTGCTGTGTATCATAGAGTTGGAATCAACCCATAGCTGACCCTCTAGTGGCTTTTCAGAGGCAGTTAATCACATGGGAGGAGATTGCCCACCCTTTTCCCATAGAGCAACTGGGGGATTAGACCCACATGCCTTCGAGATTGCGGCATAGCTTCTTGCCAGTAGACCACCAGACTTAATTATTAAATATAGCCTGTACAAAGAAAGATGAATAAAAAGTAAGCTCATTACAGTGGTAGAAAAGAAAGAGGTCAAAAAATTTACATTTTTAATGAGTTTGAATAGTAGATGTAGAATGACACATGAAATAGGAAAACTGAAGGGAAAGTAAATGTAATCATGCTGCTGAATAATGGCATTTTGGAAGTGAGATGGTATGAATAAAATCATGGACTATAAAAGCCTGGAAAGCTAAGAAATTTTGAGTCTAACCAGTAGATGTTTAAATTATATAAGATGCTGGCAAGGTTAAGGTAAAAGAAAATCCACATGTTAACATACTCTGTTATTTCTGGGAAAATGCTTAATATCAAGAGCATCAAATTTTAGGGAATGTAAATGAGTGTATAACCAAATCATATCATTCTTAAAATTGGAGGAATACTTGCACAAAAGTTAAATAGTCCAGAACTGACTACTGCCATTGAGTTGGTTCCAGCTTGTATTGACCATGCACTGGATGTTCAACTGTGGATCTTTAAAGGAGGAAACAACCCATCTTTCTCCTACAGAATGACTGGTGAATTTGAACCACCAAATTTCTTTTAGCAAATTGATAAATTATGCATTACATCACCAAGGCTTCATAGTTGAGTGCTAGTGATGGATTGTTATGTGCCATCAAGTTGCTTGCAACTCATAGCAACCCTATGTACAATAGCTATGAAATCTGCTATATCTTGAGTCAATTTCATTGTCTCCAACATACGTACACTATTTCCCCAAATGAGTCAATCCATCTCATCCAGGGTAAAAACAAATATCACACTAGAGATTGTATAAGCAAAACTACCTTCAATATCTCCTTTGGGTAATAATCAAGGTGAAATTTTTTACAATTTCATGTTTTTAATTTTGTATTTTTTTAATCCAAAAACATATACTGATATCTCTGATTTGAAAAAATTATTATGGAATAAAACAATATCCTAGAATAAAATAGTTTTACTATATTTAGAGTTTGGATTTGGTTCTTTTCCTTGTTCTATCTTTCTCTAATACCAGTTTACTACTAAAGTTATAGTAATTGTGTACACTACTTTTCTTTCTAGGGTGACTCTGGCGGACCTCTGGTTAGTGCAGATTCTAAAGGTATCTGGTTCCTTGCTGGCATTGTAAGCTGGGGAGATGAATGTGCCCTTCCAAACAAGCCGGGAGTCTATACTCGAGTGACATTCTATCGAGATTGGATCACGTCTAAAACTGGTCTCTAACATTGGAGTTCCAGGCAGATTAGAGCTTACAGTATATTAAATTCAAATCAAAACAAGGAGCCTGCACATACACACATATACACACACACCTCACCAGACAGGCTCCCCTTCACAGTGTGTATGCTTATGAAATATATTTGCAATTTTCAAACTACCTCTAGTTTAGATATTAATCTCTCTTTATGAAGTCTTATGTTAAATATTTAGACATACCTGATGTTAAAACTGTCAAAATTTTGGTTTGTTAGATACTGACTTGAATTTGGTTAGAATACTAGACAAGAACATACAATTTACCTCTTACCCTCTTGCAGACATAAGGCAATAAAATGACTCTATATCTATATAGACTACTGAGCTAAAGCTATATTTACTGTTAATTATCAAAGCCAGATCTCTGGAAAAATTATAAAACAGACATCTGAAATAATCTTCCTTCAGAATATATAAGTATTCCTCTGTTGATAAGCATATTGTTTTCACAAGATCAATGTGTACTTAAGTTGAAAACTAATAAAGTGCAGTAATATTGTCTACAAAAATTAACCAGGCATTTTCCCCTTTCTAGTATTTTAGTTCATTGTAGCCCCTTTTTCTAGAGAGTTTTGGTGGCTTATTGGTATTGAGTTGTACTGCCAACCCAAATCCACTGGCTGCTATGTAGAAGGAAGAACTCCTCTCAAGCGATTTACTGCCTCTGAAAGTGAGTTGGGGCATTACCTACGAGTCTACTCCAAATCAGTGGTATAACAATCACAAGCCCTTTCTCTATTCATTAATTCCTCCCCATGAGTGACTCAAAGTAGCAACGACAATCCTGTAAGGTGCATGAAATACATGATGATGTTTGTTGACCTGTCTCCATTTGTCTTTCAAGATGTAAGACTTTGGTTCCCACATATACATTTTTATTATTGTTGTTGTTATGTGCTATTGAGTCACCTACAACTCATAATGATCCTATGAACAATAGTTCTGAACCCTGCCCTATCCTGAGCCAGTCTCACAAATATAGACATACCTAACTCCACATCTCATCCGGGGTCTTCCTCTCCTGTGCTGTCCCTCCACCCTTCCAAGTATGATGTCATTCTTCAAAGACTGGTCCCTCCTGGCCATGTGCCCAAATTATGTGAAATGGAGCTTCAAAATCCTAACCTTCAAAGAGAAACATGGTTTCACCCTGTCCGAGACAGGCTGATTTGTTTTCTTGGTGGTCAAGACTTTTCTCCAGCACCACAGATAAAATGCTTCAATTCTGTCATCCTCAGTCATTGTCCAGCTATCTGATGGATAATAGCAAGTAATTGTGAAAAACATGGCCTGGATCAGGACCACCTTATTCTACAGACTGACATCATTGCTTCTCAGTTCTCTGGTGAGGTCACTGATGGCAGATTTTCCTGGTGCAATTAGTCTTTCGATTTCCTGGCTGTTGGTGCCAAGAGTGTTGATTGTGGAGCTGAGCAATCTGAAGCTATTCACAATCTCAATCTCTTCTCCATATATGATGGTGCTGCCAGTTGGCCCAGTAGTGAGAATCTTTGTCTTCTTGATGCTGAGCTTCAACCTATATTGAAGACTACAGTCCTGGCCTTAAGCAAATGCTTCAAGTACACCTCAGTTTCAGCAAACAAAGTGGTGTCATCTGCATAACACAGGTTGTTGATAAGTCTTCCTCCAATCCTGATGCTACGTTACTTCTCATAAAGTCCAGCTCATTGAGTGAGATCTTCCTTGATCTTAATTAGAGAAGCTGAAATCTTATGAAGAGAAATGTTGCATCAGGATTGGAGCAAGACTCATCAAGAACTGTGGTATGCAGATGACACAACCTTGCTAGCCAGAAGTTAGGAGAACTTGAAATACTTGCTAGAGAAGATCAAGGACTACAGACTTCAGTATGGATCACACCTTAACATCAAGAAAACAAAGGTCCTAATCACTGAGCCAATAGAGAACATCATGATAGATGAAGAAAGGATCGGAATTGTCAATGATTTAAGCTATCTGAGACCAACCATCAACACTTTGGTACCATCAGTCAAGAGATCAGGAAAGTTATTACATTGGGCAGGTTTTCTTTCAGAGACCTCTCCAAAATACTGAAGATGAATGATATGAGTTTAAAAACTGAGGTGCACCTCAGTTTTTGTTCAAGTCATAGTCTTTTCAATTACTTGTTATCCACCTGCGAGCTAGGCCATGAATAAAGGTGACAGAAGAATAATTAATGCCTTTAACTTGTGATGTTGGAGAAAAGTACTGAATATCCCATGAACTTCCAAAAGAACAAAGAAAAGGTGCCGCCAGAGTGTTCCTTGGAGGTAAAGAAGCAAAGAATTGTTCTTATTTTGGGTATGTTGCTAGGAGAGGCTATTCCTTTGCAAAGGCCAACATGCTTGGAATGGTGAAGGTTCAGCAAAAGAGAGAAAATCCCCTAACGAGATGCCTTAACACAATGACTACAGCAATAGCGCAAATGTATCCAAGAAGATGGAGATGGCACAGGTTAGAACAGGGCTCAGGTCTATTGTTCACAGGGTATCTATGAATCATACTCAACTTACCTAACAACAATAAGAACAACAGTAAAATTATACTCAGGATATATGATTTGTATTTCAATATAGGACTCGAATATATCATATGAATACTGTTGTTCAATATACCTCATGTTCCTAAAATTCCTCAACAACACAAATTACATCTAGAATAAATTATACAGAAATTTTGGTTCCACATCACATTCCTTTTGCCACTGTTGTTGTTATGTGCCATCGAGTTGCCTGCAACTCATAGTGACCCTATGCACATTAGCTCTGAAACCTGCCCTATCCTGAGCCAATCTCTTTGTCTCCAATAGACCTAATCCCATTTCTGTAGTCACTGAGTTAATCCTTCTCATCCTGGGTCTTCCTCTCCTGCACCATCCCTCCACCCTTCCAAGCATGATGTCCCTCTTCAAGGACTGGTCCCTCCAATCCACGTGCCCAAAATATGTGATATGGAGCTTCAAAATCCTTGCCTCCAAGGAGCAGCCTGGTTTCACTCTCAAGGACAGACCTATTTGTTCTCCTGGCAGTCCTAAGAGCACATATTTCCATAAATGCAATGTCTTGCTTCACACCAACTTGTCAAATCAGCAAATCAGTTGACTACTTAAATAAAATTATTTCATCAGACTACTTTCTCTGATTCAGTCCACGAACCCACTCCAAGTTCTCCAAGAAATTATCCTTCCCTTTTCACCACTGATGATCCTACAGCTATAATTAGCAGCTTTTACTGCAACATCATTGCTGACTTAACAATGGAGAAGAGTGATAAAGATCTCATGGACTTCGGAAAGAACAAACACGTATCTTGGATAAAGTGCAACCAGAGTGCTTCTTGAAGGCAAATCTGATGAAGCTTTATCTCACATGTTGTTGTTGTTATATGCCGTCAAGTCACCTGCGACTCATAACGACCCTATGTACAATAGCCCTAAACTCTGTTCTGTCCTGTGCCAATCTCACTGTCTCCGACACACTCATCCCGATTGCCCCAGTCACCGAATTAATCCATCCCCTAGAGGGCCTTCCCTTCTTGCACCCTCCCTCCACCCTCCCAAGAATGATGTCCCTCTCTAAGGACCAGTCTCTCCTTACAACATGAGCAAAATATGTCAGACGGAGACTCAGAATCTTTGCCTCCAAGGAGCAGCCCGGTTTAACCCTTTGCAGGACAAATCTGTTTGTTTTCTTAGCAGTCCATCATACCCTCAGTATCTTCTTCAACACAAAAGCTCAAAGGCATCAATTCTCCTTCTATTCTCCTTAGTCATTTTCCAACTCTCTGATGCACAACAAGTGATTGCAAAGACCATGGCCTATATCAGACAGACCTTAGTCTCCAGAGAGACACCGTTGTTCTTCAGTACTTTAGAGAGGTCCCTAACAGCAGACTTTCCCATCGCAATACGTTTTTTTATTTCCTGGCTTCTGGTGCCAAGAGTGTTGATTGCGGAGACAAGCAGACTAAAGCTGTGAACAATGTCAATTTCTTCAACATCCAACCTGATGCTGCCAATTGATCCAGTGGTGAGAATCTTTGTCTTCTTGACATTGAACCTCAATTCATACTGAAGGCTTCATTCCTTGACCCTCTGCAGCAAGTGTTTCAGGTCCTCCTCAGTTTCAGCAAGCAGGGTTATGTCATCTGCATAATGCAGATTGTTGATAGATCTTCCACCAGTCCTGATTCCACATTTCTTCTCATAGAGCCCAGCCTCCTGGACAATCTGTTCTGCATACAGGTTGAAAAGGTATGGAGACAGGGCACATCCCTGGTGTATGCCCTTCCCAATTTTGAACCATGCAGTGTTTCCTTGCTCTGTTCTGATGACTGCCTCTTGGTCCAAGTATAGGTTTCGCATTAGCACGATCAAGTGTTCGGGATTCCCATTCTTCTCAGAGTCGGCCACAGTTTGTTATGGTCCACACAGTCAAACACCTTTGCATAATCAATGAAGCACAGATAGATATTCCTCTGGTACTCCTTGCTTTCAGCCAAGATCCATCTAACATTATTAGCTACAATATCTCTAGTACCAAAACCCCTTCTAAACCCAGCCTGGTCTTTTGACAGTTCTCTGCTAATGTGCTGTCCCAGTTGTTTTTGAATAAAGTTCAGCATACATTGGGCATTTTGCAAGGAGACACTGTTCCTTTGGGACATCATGGTTGGAAATGTTAAAGGCTGACTAAAAAAGAGTAAGATCCTCAACCAGATGAATTGACATAGTGACTGCAGAAATGGTCTCGAGTGTGTCAGAGATTGTGAGGATGGCACAGGGTAGAGAAGAGCTGTTGTTCATAGAGTTACATATTCAACCTGAAGTCACCTAACAACAATGTCACCCATGTATTATAATCAATGTAAAGGAGCCCTGGTGGTGCAGTGGCTAAGCACTCAGATTCTTACTGATTGTGGGTAGTTTAATCCCACCAATCATT